CCCTCCCGCCCGCCTCCCTACCCTGGCAGGACACTGCCAGTTTTTACAAACGGAGCACCATAAGTACCCCAAACATACTGGTGTAAGCAACTGGTGTATAAGTAACTTGTGTCATTTTAGACGCTCCCTTATATAATAGGTCTAATTGGTCCAATTAATATTAATAAAATATAAAAGAGTATTGGCATCGGTTGTTAAAAACACCTATGCTTTTGTTAGGAGTATTATTTAAAAACTTTAACAAAATAAGGGTATTAGCCTCGGTTAAATAAAACAACCGATGCCTTTGTATTTTTAAGATTTTCGAAAATTTAAAATTAGGTTTTAGCATCGGTTCTCGTAAAAAACCGATGCATTTGTTTAATTTATGAAAATATTAAAAAAAAATATAGGTATTAGCATCGGTTCTTTTTTATAACCGATGTCATTGATTTATTGCATCGGGTTTTGAAAAATAACCGATGCTAATACCAATCTTTTGTTTTTAATTTTATTTAATAACAATCAATTACATCGCTTTTGAAAAATAACCGATGCCTTTGATCTTTTGCATCGGTTATTTTTGTATGCGATGCAATTGAGGCAGTCTTTTTGCCTTTTTTTGTAGTAGTGCTAGGAGCCACGCACGAAGCCAATGCCCAAATCGGATTAACGCCTCTCCAACGTTCGCCAATCAATGCTCCAACGGGAAGAATTCAACTTTTCCAAAGCCCCTCCTTACTATAAATTAAATAGAATCGACGCACATGAGAAGGGGGGAAATTCACACAGAGAATAAAACGAGAATAAAGCAGCGGCTTGGCCGCTGCTATGGTGGTCGCCGGCGATGGTGGCAGGCGGCGCGGCGAACGGCCAGCAGACGCGCAACAGCTCCAGCTCCGGTGGGCAGCCTCCATCACAGGTCCAGTTTACTCAATTTGTTCATCTTCTTCAACAATTGGTAACTCTTATTTGTCACTTTTATCTTTTCTTCTCGAATTCTATGTAAAAGTTTGCTTTTGAATCAATTTTACATTTTTTGTTTGTTGTGTTTATTTCAAAAATTCTAAAAATATGGTTGGTGTTCTTTTATGGGTTTTTTTATGTTTATATTAAATCCCTTATGAATGAGAATTGATTCAAACTAATTTTTCTTCAATTATTGAGCAAGTTGTTGTTGAATTGGTTGAATTGTATAATTTGATTTCATAAGTAGGTTGGTATATGGAGTTCAGTTTTTGTTGAAGCTATTTTAGCTCCATAAGGTAGTTCAATGAACTCCGAATTTATAAATTTTGGACTTCTTAGCCCCATAAGTTGATTCATTATTCTTAGAATTCGTTATTGAGTGATTGTTTATTTTCTTGTATGTTTGTTTGTTATTTTCGTTAATTTGAGGTTGTTTAAACTCAAAAACAATTTTCGATTTATTGAAAATATGTTGTGTTCATCTATGTGAATAGAAAAAACGTCATTGGTTTGAGAAGTTCATGGAAATCAGTGAAATGTGCTCTTCAGTAGGAGAAAAGGTTTATTAAAATGCATAAGGTATTGGCAGTTTGTGAATAGATTATACATGAAAGTTAGAATGAAAAAGAATTCGCTCTTTTATAAACTTTTTCTATAGTGGAAGTATGTTTTCATGCTTGATTAGTGAGTTGGGGTTATAAGGTATATTTCAAAATGGGCCTTTGAATTACATGACTCCGGGCCGTGTGGAGAGTTGACAATCCTCCATATCGTGGTTAAGGAAATGAATCGACTCGGCTTTTGATTGATTTTTTCTATTCTTAAGTGCATAAGTTATGTAATATATTGTCTACGTGCCTATTATACGTGTAATGTTCAACTTGTGTTTGTTCTCTTTTTAATTTTGTTTCGGGTTCTTGGCGGTGTTTTTTGGTTTAGTTTTAGAGCTTGTTTTCCCCCATTTTATCAAAAAAAAACAAAAAATAAGAAAAACATAAAAAACCAAAAAATATTTACTTTTCAACCCCCCACCCTTGTTATGTTTAAGTTTTAGTATTAGTGTTTGTTTATAAGTTATAAATATAAGTTTTTATACTTTTTTTAGTATATTCTAAGTAAGCGTTTTATGTTTATAAATTATATTTTAAGTTCTTTGTTTATATAAGTTATATTTATAAGTTTTTATATTTATTTAAATAAAAGTTTTTTTAAGTCTTATCAAATGTGTAGTAGTTAGTTTGTTTTTTCGTGACAATGTGTGTGCATGCTATATTGATTTCAAAAATACAAACTTTCTCCGTGGGATCGACCCTTACTTGCCCTAACTATAGTTTTTATTTGATTATATATTGGGGGTTAGCTAAGGTTATTTATAAATTTTTAATTTGTTTTGGACCTCACGACAAGTCCCCAACAGTGACAGAATTCTCACTAGAAAAATTAATTGATTAATTTGATATTCTAACTAGTTAAAATATCTGAAAATTGCCTACTACCTTAAATCCATTCATATTCCTCTTTATCAATTCAATCAAATTGCTATTCAGTTCAATCAAACACAAACTTTTCGAAATTAGAAAACTTCCCATACCAATTATTACGCCTTGCCTAACTAATTTTTAATAGAAAATTTATTACATGCCAATCCTTGTGAATACGACACGGGAATAAATTGAACTCTTTTATAGTGAAATTTACTACCACTAAAACTCTTTCGTCATCATTATTCAACATTAAACATTCATATTTATCATTCATATTCAACATTCATCATTTATATTCATCATTCATATTCTATATTCATAGTGTCAACAATCAACAATATCTTTAAACTATTCTTAGTCTAAGGCCAATCTCTTTAATGTTTATCAACTCTTAAACGAATTCTATTTTAAGATATATCTAAACAGTTCTTAAACTATATTCTAGTCTAAGGTACTGTTATCCAGTCCGCAAGCTAGGCCTAGTTTAAGATACAATTTTGAAAAAGGTTTTTCAAATCTTAAACTTACCTTCGCTTAAGGTCAACTAGAAACCGAACAGTGGAATGCTCACTGTCGGGTAGGGTGGTATTCCAAACGAGTGATTCTCAAGTTTGGTTGGCAGATCCCGTACGTACGTTTTTACCTTGACCACCGAATATTTATAATTATACTCGCAAGGTCTATTTCTAATCTATTTTAGAGGTCTTCTAGATAGTATTATAAACCAACATCAATATGGATAAATCTTAGAGTTCTTCCAGATATCCTTAATAGTTCATCATTAATTTTCAAATGCGTATACCCTAGAGTTCTTCTAGATATTCTTAACAATACAAATCATTTTGAAATCAATAATGTATTCATTTTTAATCATGATTCAATCATTAATTATCATTTTAATCAATGAGTTCATCAAATCATAATCATCATAATAATCATTCATCATAATCCTCAATCAACATAACATTCAATAGAAATTAGCGGCCTAGCTTCGAGTGTTAACACCCTAGCTTACTGTCATGCATCACGTATGGTCCTTTTAGTTGTCAAAACATCATTTTTATTCCAAGAAATCATCCTTACATTAAACATAATTGATTGGTATCAAAAATAGGATTTTAGAGCTTAAAAAAGCATTTTCAAAAATATTTTCGGAGCAAAAGTTTGGGAGATCGATCCAGTAGTCTGGATCGATGCAAACTAAAAAAATATTCCAGGGGATCGATCCAATAGGGTGGATCAATCCACCATGTTGATTTTTATCCATTGTTCATCTTCTTCAACCTTCGGTCCATTTTTTGAAACACCTGGTTATCAACATTGTATTCAATCTCACGATGTCTCAAGTTGGCATAAGATTTTTTCAATCAAAAGCCACTTGCAGTCTTTCTCTGATCAGACGAACCTTTTCTTCAATTTTGCGGACGAGATCAGGTCCTTCAAACTTTTACTCGTTTAGTTCTATCCAGCATACTAGGGTTCTACAATGTCTCCCATACAAGGCTTCGTACGGGGCCATTTGGATACTCGCTTGATAACTATTGTTATAAGAAAACTCCATTAACGGTAAGTATTGTTCCGAGTTGCTTCAAACATCGATTACACATGCTCTCATCATATCTTCTAGGATTTGGATTTTCCTTTCAGATTGTCCATTTGTTTGTGGGTCAATTGTTGTACTAAAGTTGAGTTTAGTACCTAGTGCTTTCTGTAGACTCTTCTAGAATTGTGACGTGAATTGAGGGTCACGATCAGAAACGATAGATAAAGGCACACCATGCAATCTTACAATTTCTCGAATGCATAATTCTGCCAACTTTTTCAATGATGTATCACGTCGAATTGGTATGAAATGGGATGAGTTGGTTCAATAATTACCCAGACAACGTCATTCTTCTTAAATGATAATGGAAGTCCGATTACAAAGCTCATCGTAATTCGTTCCCACTTCCATTCAGGAATGGTAGGTGGATGCAATAGTCCACTTGGAATTTGATGTTCCGCTTTGACTTGTTGACATGTTAGACATCGGGTCTTAAACTCTAAAATTTCCCGCTTCATCGTGGGCCACTGATGCCTTTTTTTGATCTTGGAACATTTTATTACTACTGGGATGCATGGTATATGTGGTTTCGTGAGATTCACACATTAAACGTTCTCTCACTTCACCACTAGGAACTACCAAACGATTCCAGGAAAATAAAACTCCATCATTTACAATGAATTCTTGTCTCTTCCCCTCAGCTATGAACCATATTTTTGTATCTTACCTCGGTGTTTTGTGATTGTTTTCTTCGACGAAATTCCCATCTACAGTCCTTCATTAGAGTTACACGGATCACATCTCCATGTGACATTGCATATTCTGGCCACACATAATTTCTTTATCAAATTGGAAAAGTGAACGTTTTGTTGCAACACGGTGGCATACTTGGGTCATTTAGTCACCAATGGAGAGTTACGGGGTGACCCTACTAAGTTGGAAGCAATGGCAAATTGGCCGACACCCAAGACGATCAAGCATTTCTGTGGCTTTTTAGGTTTGATGGGGTATTATCACCGATTTATACGGTCGTATGCCATGATCAAAGCGCCTCTAAATTCTTTGTTGCAGAAGAATAATTTCGCCTGGTTGCCTGAGGCAGACATGACCTTCCATCATCTTAAATCTTTTATGACATCTCCTCCGTTGCTACAATTGCCCGATTTTGACAAGGTTTTTATGTTAAAAATGGATGCTTCCGACAAGGTCATAGCCGCATAGGGGCAGTCCTCATGCAGCAAGGTCATCCGATTGCTTTTTATAGCAAAAAATTAGGACCCTCACGTCGTTTGACGTCGACATATCATAAGGAATTGGATGCTATCGTGGAGGCGGTGCATAAATGACGACAATACTTACTAGGAAGGGAGTTATTTATTCGATCAGACCAAAAGAGCTTCAAGGAATTATTTTTTCAAGTAGTTCAAACCCCGGAACAACAATTCTATATTCGAAAGCATATGGGCTAAAAATTTTGAATTGAATATAAATGGGGCGCCACGAACTGAGCTGCTGACGCCTTAACACGTATGGACGCCGACGAGGATACTGCTCTTTAATTTCAACATTATGCTCATCAGCTACTGATGCAGGAGAGGATCCAGACTGATGTGAACTCCTTGTTAAGGCCTTCATTTTTCAATTTTTGTGTCTTTGGGCCTTCGGCCTATCTTTTAGTTGGCCCATTTATTTTTATTCTTAGGCCCGTTTTGTCTTCCATCTTTTAGGGTTTCACTCCCTTCGTTTTTCAGCTATTTATAGCCCGGCTTGTGGGCATATTTCATTCAGACTATCATTATTTGAGAATATTTCATATACCTATAGCGGAACTCTTCCCCTAGCGTTTCAATCATTCCCTTTCTTCCGTTGTTCTTCTCGTTCTAGCCCTACGCCTTGATTTAATTCGGCGTCAGTTGGTATCAGAGCTCAGTTCGACGAATAAAGGAAGAACATCCTTCAACATCAATGGTGCGTGCACGAGGTCGTGGCCGTGGGCCACCTATGGGTAACGAACCCCCCCGACGAGAGCAGCACCTTGACAACGTGGAGGTGATAACAGATTTACAGCGGCAGAACAAGGTTATGCGGCAGCAGATCGTGGAACTCACACGACGCCTAGCGGTGCGAGATTTGGAAGATCATGAGGAGTCAGATCACGGCTCCCGATCATAGTTCGAGAACCCGTATCATTGCGAACCTCACGGTCGTGATTTTCGCGTTCGTGGTGACTATCGCGGAGGGCTAGGGTTTAAGGTGGAAATCCCTAGTTTTTTAGGAACCCTGCAGGCCGATGATTTCATTGACTGGCTGAACGAGGTGGATCGGATCTTTGAGTATAAGGACGTTCCTGATCGTGACAAAGTGAAGCTCGTGGCGATCAAACTCCATGGACGAGCCTCTGCATGGTGGGAACAAATGCGGCGATCTCATGAGAAGAAGGGCAAGCCAAAGATCAATGATTGGGAGAAGATGAAGGGTAAGATGAGGGCACACTTTCTTCCCTTCGGATACACACAAACCCTATTTCAACGACTCCATACGTTGAGGCAGGGAACGAGGTCCGTTGATGATTACACCGAAGAATTCTACCAGTTGATTGCCCGCAACGATCTGCCTGAATCGAGGAGCAGCTTGTGGCCCGATATATGGCGGGCTTGTGTCAGTCGTTGCAGGATGTTCTCAACCTCCATTCATTATGGATTGTTTCTGAGGCATACAAATGGGCCGTTGCAGTTGAGAAGCAGTAGAATAGGAAGCCGGTGACCAACAACCGTCCGGCTCGGCCCCAAGAGCCTCGACTGACCACACAGGGAGTCCAAGGGACGCATGGAGCTTCGAGTAGTACGATTAAGTGCTATCGTTGTGGTGAACCTGGACATAGGGCGAATGAATGCAAGAAACCCGCTCTACAGAAGAGCAAGAGCATGTTCGTGGAGGAGAACATCGTTGTTGACGATGATGAGGTTGAAGAGTTTGGAGGTCCAGTCTATGATGATTATGCAGAAGATGATGTTCTTTACGGGGATGGTCGAGAGAATTTGGTTGTGCACAAGAGTCTTCTGGCCCCAAAGGATGATTCTAAAGACGGTTGGTTGAGGACAAACATCTTCCACACAACCTGCACCATTGGAGGAAAAGTTTGCAAGATGATCGTGGATGGTGGTAGTTGCGACAATATTGTCTCTGACGAAGCTGTCCGGAAATTGCAGTTGAACATAGAACGCCACCCCAAACCCTATAAGTTGTCTTGGCTACACAAGGGTTCCGAGGTGACAGTTGACAAGAGATGCCTTGTTTCCTTTTCAATTGGGAACAAGTATCATGATAGTCACTGGTGTGATGTCGTGAAGATGGATGCATGTCACATTCTTTTGGGAAGACCTTGGCAGTATGATCGTAGTGTTATACATGATGGACGAAAGAATACCTATTCTTTTGTCATGAAAGGCAAGAGGATTGTTGGAATGCATGAGTTCAACCCTTTCTGTGTTGTTTAGTGTTGACTCACAGGTTTTGATAATTGACAAACACAATTTATTCAAGTCAAGATTAAAAGTGCTACAACGACAATCACGAAGACTTGAAGTGCCATTCCTTGAAGTATTCAAGAAGGTGCACAGGATTTTGTTGAAGTCCGAGACGCGTTCGGAGCGCCTAACGGAGGACTCGAAGGAGCAGAAGATTTCCGAAGACTTTTTATTTATTTGAGTCTTAGGAATTATTGTAAGGATGACAAAAATATCTTCTCTCCAAAATTATTTTTATGAGAGTCAAAATAAAAATTATATTTATTTTTGGAGTCAGCTGAAAAATCTTTTTAACTGTTCAAAATAGTTTTATTGAGTCAGTTACAAAAAAGTGTGTCAAACATTTATCTAATATTTATTTTAATATTATAAAATATTTTTGGTAAGCAAAAATATTTTATTCAAATATTTTTCGTGTACATCGTTTGACACACAAAATAATTTTTGGACTCATTTTTACTCCCTTATTCAAATTCATTGAATAGGAGATTTTTTTAGGAGCGTTCCTGCCTGATTCCCGTTGTCTCAAACAACGAGTATTCATCCAATTTGCTTTCAATCACAACTGGCTTGGGCCCTTTGTGTTTGTGAATCATTTCGCATCTAATCGATTAAGTTTCTCACCTTAATCGATTTTACCCAGTTAATCGATTAATTTCTCTTGATTAATCGATTAATCTAGTTTTGCCTTGCGAAGGATTGTTCTGGTCCTTGGTCTAATCGATTTTCCTCCTGCCTTTAATCGATTAGTTCACACAGAGCATTCTAATCGATTAATCCCTTTGCATTAATCGATTATTTCTACGTAGAAGGAACTCTGCGCAGACTGCATTAATCGATTATTGTCACTGCATTAATCGATTATTATGCTGCATTTTTCATCCCAGCTTCTTTTCTTGGACCAACGGATTTATTCCTTCAACCCCTTTATAAACCTCACTCCTTGGTCATTTTTAGCATGAACAAGCACTCCTAAAATCCCCAATCTTGAGGTTATAATCCTCCATTCATTTCTTCCTCAAATTGATATATTTTGAGAGAAAACTAAGTGTTTTCAAAAGAGTGTTCTTGTCATCCGTAGAGCTTAATCTTTTCTCATTTCTACTCTTGTGAGAGTTATTGCTGAGAGGTTGAAGAAGATTGTTCTTCTTGTTGTTCAAGGCTTATGTGATTTAAGTCTTGGTTGTGAAGTCTTGTAGAGGGCATATCTACGAGCGGTTGTGTCGAGGCTTGTGGGATTCAAGTTCTCGAGTTGTAAATGGTTTGTTAAGCACCCGTAAGCTTAACGAAAGTAGTGGTAGCTTCGAGAGAGTCTCTCGGGGAACTGGACTAGCCACGAGGTGGTGAACCAGTATACATCGGTGTGTTCTTTGCCTTCTCTCTTTTATTTCTGCTGCACTTACGTTTATATTATTAATCCTGCGAAAATCGGTAATCATTCTCAACAACTCTATTCACCCCCCCCTCTAGAGTTGCACGCATTGTCTAACAAGGATAATATTAGCACCACGTCGAGAGGACCCTCCTCCACCCTCAACAGAAGGCCCTACTAATATGCCATCTAGGTCCAAGTTCCTAGAGGAGGTTGAGCATTAAAAGGTGGTTTATGCATTGCTGCCTTGTGATGACCAAGCAGGTGATGAAGACAGTAACTTACCTGTGGAGGTGCAGCAACTTCTAGATGAGTTCTCACACTTGATGCCTGATGAGCTACCTCCTGGTTTACCACCATTGAGGGACATCCAACATCAAATTGATTTAGTCCCAGGCTTTAACCTCCCAAACAGACCAGCATATCGTCTCAGTCCCAAAGAGGTAGAAGAATTGCAGCGACAAGTTGTAGAGTTGCTTGAAAGAGGTTATGTCAGGGAGAGCATGAGTCCATGTGCAGTTCCAACCTTGTTGGTGCCGAAGAAAGATGGTTCTTGGCGCATGTGTGTGGACAGCATGGCCATCAACCGCATCACGGTGAAGTATAGATTTCCCATTCCCCAACTTGATGACATGCTAGATCAACTTTCCGGATCTAAGATCTTTTCCAAAATTGATCTTAAGAGTGGGTACCATCAGATTCGAATCAAGCCTGGCGACAAATGGAAGACCGCGTTTAAGACGCAGCATGGGTTGTACGAGTGGATGGTGATGCCATTTGGTCTGTCCAACGCACCTAGTACGTTCATGCGGTTCATGCACCATGTCTTGAGACCTTTTATGGGAAAGTTTGTTGTTGTTTACTTTGATGACATCCTTATCTATAGTCCATCTTGGGCTGCCCACTTTGAACATTTGTGTGCTGTTTTTCAGGTGCTGAAGCGGAGACTTTATTCATCAATAGAAAGAAGTGTTTCTTCTTTACTACCTCCGTTCAGTTCCTGGGGTTTGTGGTTTCTGTTGATGGTGTGCATGCAGATCCCTCGAAGATTAAGGCCATTGTGCAGTGGCCTAGACCCAGAACATTGCATAACGTTCGTAGCTTTCATGGTCTGGCTTCTTTTTATCGCAGATTCATTAGGAATTTCAGCACTTTGATCGCGCCCATTACTGAGTGTCTCAAGGGACGTGACCTCCAGTGGACAGATGCCGCGGAGTCCAGCTTTGAGAAGGTGAAACAGAAGATGACGAAGGCTCTAGTATTAGCCCTCCCTGATTTTGACAAAGTTTGTGAGGTCAACTGTGATGCGTCTGGTGTTGCATTGGAGGTGTGTTTAGTCAGGCCGGACGTCCAGTTGCCTTCTTCAGTGAAAAACTTTCTGGTTCCCATCCCAGAAGAACTACTCGACTTATGACCTCGAGTTCTACGCCATTGTTCAGTCACTCAAACATTGGCGTCATTATTTAATCCAAAAGGAGTTCATTCTTTTCACTGATCACGAGGCTTTGAAGTATATTAATGGGCAGCACAAACTCAATAGGCGTTAGGCCAAGTGGGTAGCGTACTTACAGGAGTTCACCTTTGTTCTCAAACACCAATCAGGTAGTGTCAACCGCATCGCTGATGCCTTGAGTCGACACAATAATCTTCTCTCCACCATGAGCAGTAGAGTGACGGGATTTGAAGTGTTTGCGGACATGTACGAAGCTGATCCTTCATTCGGGACGATCTTCTTGGAGGTGACTTTAGGACACCCCCATGATTTTTTGGTGCACGATGGCTATCTTTTCCGAGGTCGGCAGCTGTGCGTCCTAGATTGTTCCTTACAACAACAGATTATCAGTGAACTCCACAACGAAGGACATTTTGGTCGAGACAAGACTCTCGCTCTTGTGTTTGCTGATTTTTACTAGCCAAAGTTGAGAAGTGACGTGACCCATTTTGTGGATCGTTGCTATGTGTTCCAGCGATCTAAGGGAGCTCTCACAAATGCAGGCCTTTATACCCCATTGCCTGTTCCAGAAGCTCCTTGGCTTGATGTTAGCATGGATTTTGTACTTGGCTTACCCCGCACCCAAAGGGCGGCAGACTCCATCTTTGTTGTTGTTGACAGGTTTTCCAAGATGGCACACTTTATTCCCTGCAGGAAAACCATGGATGCTGTGCGGATTGCTCACCTATATTTCAGGTAGATTGTGAGGTTGCATGGCGTTCCTCGCCTTATCACCTTAGATCGTGATACAAAATTCATGAGCCAGTTCTGGAAGAGTTTATGAGAGAAGCTCGGCACCCATCTGAACTTTAGCAGTGCATATCATCCTCAGACTGATGGCCAGACTGAGGTGGTGAACCGTAGCTTGGAAAATCTTCTACGTTGTTTGGCAGGATCTAAGCCAAAACAATGGGATTTGGTGCTTCCGCAAGCGGAATTTGCCTATAACAGATCAATAAACAAGACCATTGGATTAAGCCCATTTCAGATTGTCTTAGGTCAGAACCCATCAGGGGTGCTGGACTTGGCCCCAATTCCACGAGTGGGTCGCAATCATCCTAGAGCCGAAGAGATGATAGAGAACCTGAGGAGCATACATGATCAGGTGAGACGAAAGATTGAAGAAAGCAACAACAAGTACAAGGCATGAGTGGACAAACATTGACGTCAAGTTGTGTTTGATGTTGGAGACTTTGTTTGGGCTGTGTTGACCAAAGATCGATTCCCTGTTGGCGAGTATGATAAACTCAAGGATCGGAAAATTGGACCCTGCGAGATAGTTCAGAAGATCAATGATAATGCTTACCGATTGCGGCTTCTAGTCACTTGAAAACTTCTGATGTTTTCAATGAATGTGAAGCACCTAACTCCTTGTTTTTTGGATTCTAAGGAAGATGTTGTGAACTCGAGGGCGAGTTCTTTCCAACCCGGGGAGACTGATGCAGGAGAGGATCCAAACTGACGTGAACTCCTTGTTAAGGCCTTCACTTTTCAATTTTTGTGTCTTTGGGCCTTCGGCCTATCTTTTAGTTAGCCCATTTATTTTTATTCTTAGGCCCGTTTTGTCTTCGATCTTTTAGGGTTTCATTCCCTTCGTTTTTCAGCTATTTATAGCCTGGCTTGTGGGCATATTTCATTCAGACTGTCATTATTTGAAAATATTTCATATACCTAGAGCGGAACTCTTCCCCTAGCGTTTCAATCATTCCCTTTCTTTCATTGTTCTTCTCGTTCTAGCCCTACGCCTTGATTTAATTCGGCGTCAGCTACCCACTCTTTTACAGCAGATACGCGGCAACAACACCATAAATTCAGATCTCGTCGCATTGCATGCGGCCGCGTTAAAGGGGAGTCTGCCATCGCGATATGTTGTCCATGATGGGATCCTCTACTACCATCATCGCCTTTGTCTTGGCAAGGCTTCAGCTCTTAAGTCAGCTACTTTACATGAATTCCATGTCTCGCCGAGCGCAGGACATGCGGGGGTTGAGCGTACCTTCCGTAGGGTGGCGGAGGTTTTTTTCTGGCGACAAATGCGAAAAGATGTTCATGTCTTTGTGGAGTCGTGTTCAATGTGTCAAGCAACCAAGTATATCACACAATGTCTAGCGGGTTTGCTCCAGCCCTTGCCAGTTCCGGCCCGGGTATGGGAAGACATCACCATGGATTTCATCGTTGATTTGCCGACCTCTGGAGGGTACACGAGTATTATGGTAGTGGTGGATCGATTAACCAAGTATGCTCATTTTGGCGCGCTACCCACCTCATTTAATGGTCCCAAAGTTGCATCCTTGTTTGTCGAGGTCATTGTTAGGCATCACGATTCACATGTTTCCCCGGTCTATTGTTTTCGATTGGGATCATATTCTCATGAACCATTTTTGGGAATCGTTGTTCACTTTAAGTGGGATCACACTCAAGAGGAGCACGACGTATCACCCACAAACCGACAGGCAAAAGGAAGTAAGCAATCAAGGGTTAGAACAATATTTGTGGGCCTTTTGCCACTACCGGCCGACACGGTGGTTCTCTTTTCTACCATGGGCGGAGGTTAGCCCTCAACTCCACATTTCATGAAGGCATCAAGATGACACTGTTTCATTCCCTTTACGCTCAAAAGCCTCTGACCCTCGTTCCGTACACAGTGGGGACAAGCAAGGTGCATGCGGTGGATTCCCATTTGACGGAGGGGGGGGGGGAGATCCTACGCCACCTCAAACATAATTTACAGGTAATGCAGCAACATATGGATGCTGGTGCTAATACTCGTCGTCGCCACGTGGAATTTCAAGTCACAGGTATGGTGCTTCTCAAGTTACAACACTCAATACGCTCCAACGGGACGAAGAATCTTCCGACTATAAATGGGGGCTGCGTTGAATAGAGGAAGGGGGGAACAAACCAGAGAACTCCAATTTGTCAATTTCTTCATCATCTTCTTCTATAGGTACCCAAATAAATTGGCTTCCGGACTTAATCTGGAAGTCAATCCTTTGATTTTTCAATTCTTTTGTTTCTATGTTCAAGTGTTGTTATTTTTTTTCCAATTTATCATTTTTTGTTACTTGTTCATGTAAAAAAATCTGAAAAAATATAATGGTTGGTGTTCTTTTGGGTGTATGTTCTTGTTTTAAATGTTTATATATAATCCCTTATGAATGAGAATTGATTCTTTCTTCTTTACTTCAATTATTGCACAAGTTGTTGTTGAATTGATTGAATTGTTTCAAATTCATAAGTAGGTTGTTATGTAGAATTCGATTTTTGTTGAAGCTATTTTAGCTCCATAAGATAGTTAAATAAACTCCGAATTCATACGGGTTTCTGTGTTATGCTTGTGTTCGTTGATTTTAAGGATTTTGGACTTCTTAGCCCCTGAGTTGATTCATTCTCCTTAGAATTCGTTATAGAGTGAATTTGTTATGTTATTTGTTTGTTTTGCATTTTCTTTAAATTGAGATTGTTTAAGTGCAATAAACAATTCTTGATTTATTGAAAATACGTTGTGTTCTTCTATGTGAATAGAAAAAACGTCATTGGTTTGAGGGGTTCATGGAAATCTGTGAAATGTGCTCATCATTAGGAGAAAAAGTTTATTAAATACATAAGATATTGGCGGTTTGTGAATAGATTATGTATGAGAGTTGAATGCACAATAGATTCTCTCTTTTATAAACTTTTTCTATAGTGGAAGTATATTTTAATGCTTGAATAGAGAATTGGGGTTCAAAAGTATATATTTCAAAACGGGCTTTTGAATTGCATGACTCCGGGCCGTGTGGAGAGTTGACAATCCTCCATATCGTGGTTAAGGAGATGAATCGACTCGGCCTTTGATTTGTTTTTTCTATTATTAAGTGCGTAAGTTACGTAATATATTGTCTACGTGCCTATTATACGTGTAATGTTCGAATTCTATTATTCTTTTTTTAATTTTGTTTTGGATTCTTGGCGGTGTTTTTCGGGTTACCTTGGTTGAGGAAGTTGATTATCTTTTGAGCTTGTTTTCCCCCATTTTATCAAAAAATCAAAAAAAAAAAAGAAAAGAAAAAAACCAAAAATATTTTCTTTTTATTCAAACCCCCACCTTGTGTTATATTAGCGTAGGTTTTTATTTACTAAGTTTATTTAACAAGTGCTTGTTTATAAGTTATATTATAAGTTCTTTGTTATATAAGTTATTTATAAGTTTTAATGTTTATTTTTATAATAAGTTTTATTATAAATTTTATAAGTGTTATCTTATGTGTAGTATTTCATTTAATTTTTATATTTATTTTCGTGACATTGTATTTGCATACTAAAATGATTTTGAAAAAAAATACAAACTTTCCCGGTGGGATCGACCCTTACTTGCCCTAGCTATAGTTTTTGTTTGATTATATATTGGGGGTTAGCTAAGGATAATTTATAAATTTTTAATTTGTTTTGGACCGCACGACAGGTCTTCAACAGCAAGGTAGATGATACAGCCCAACCGGGGGGGCTAGATATTGGAGCGAGTTGAGAGCCCAAGAACACGACAGAAACCAAGACGTTTGGGCCGCGTGTCTAAACCATCGGCTCGGCTTCAAGGTTATGTTTAAATTTTTAAATACTTTATTTATTATTGTTTTATATATTTTTTTAGGTGAGGAAATTATAAGTTCTTTCGAGGGTCTCTTTTTTGGTTCTTACCTCGATGCTTTTCTTGAAACGGACAGGGTTAGAGTTACTTTCATTCTCTATTTATACTCTTGTGTTTGGCTATTGAAGGCATGCATGAAAGAAAGTAAATTGCTCCATCCGCCCTAAAACTATTTTCCCAGTTACTATTCACATGCTCAAACTAAAATTACTTTCTTTACCTATATTCGTTAGTATTTGATTAAAAATAGTCTTGTCACTGCTTGTTTTATAGAATTTTTAATGTAGTTTTTAAACATATAAATTTTGTTTTTAATTTTTGCACCTACAATTAAATAAATAGAATTGAAAATAGATTCGGTCAAATCTCATAAACACAAATCGAAAGATAGTTGGGAGAAGGAATAAACTAGGAGTAAAACATATGTCATATCTTCAAAATAGGATTTCAAACTTAAACTATTCTAAATAGGAGTAATTAACTTAATTAATAAAACAAAAAAATGCTCCCACACGCACTGCATTTGCGGCCTTTCTTAGCCGTGTTTATTATTCTTTGTCAATGCATGGCTGTCCTTTTTAATATCCTGTTGGTAAGTTATAGTGTACGGAGTATTGTAGAGGAAAATGTGAAAGTAATGTTAACCACATAAATAAAACAGCTTGCTTTTAAGTGTAGGGGTGGGGCATTTAGTTACCGTATAATTTCTATATAGAGCCTTTTTTTATAATTTAATTATAAAGGAGATATTTACGAAGGACAGCGACGCCCACTGCCGCAATCATTGTCGACGGTGATGCCCATCGCCGCTGCATACTTGCCACTATCGCTTGAATTTCCATCACCATCGTCCTCTGCTACGCCCCATCTCACCGCCACCACCGACGACATTACCACTCTATACTATTATCAAGAATCCGCATCATCGTCGTCACAGTGTCACATTAACAGTCAATACAGTGTCAAACAAAGATATAATGTCAAACATGACATCATATAATGTCACATATGACAATTTATAATACCATAAATTCTCATATATAATGCCACATATGATCATATATAATGTCACAATGTTACACAATGACATAATGTCAAACCAAATCCAATGCCCTCCACGATCGCCAGCAAGAATTTTTGAAGAAAATAGAATTCAACTAAGGATCGAGAGAGAAAATGCTCACTTTTGGAATCATGCTTTGAGGAAGAGAGATGGAGGTGGGCAACGTGACACAAGTGCGGCGATGAATCTAAGAGGGTGGGGGCATGACACAATTGATCATGTTACTTCATCTACTCATTCATCCCCTTCTCCGTCTTCTTTTATTAATTATTTAAAAAAAATTGAAGAAGATGAAGAAAATGAAACCCTAAGAAACTTTTAGGCTAATTAATACTACTATTATTTCAAATTAATAATTAATAAAATTTGCAAAACATATTCTTTATATTAAAAATTAATAGAATTTTTGTGATTATAGTTTAAAAAAATAATGTTGACCATAAAATCTTTATTTTAAAAAGATTTTAAAAAATGAAAGAAAATATCATGACAAACCAAATTGGAACTAAAATTTAGTACCTTGGTATGGGTCATCTGCCTTCTTACTTTTATATATCTACAAATTAGAAAGATGTTCATAAACAAGGAAATTAATTAGTCACAATAATATATAATTAAGGTAAATATAAATTCATAAAAATAAAATAAAGATGTGGTTATTCTAAAAAACTTATTATATATATATACTTGGAGGTGACTCTTGACATAGCTATGCTAAGGCCTTTGATGTTGATCAATTGAAGAAAAAGTTTGGGTGTGGCTTGTATAACAATAATAAAAACACACAGTATTAGGGGTGAGCTTCGGTTCGGTTCGGTTCGGTTAGTTTCGGGTCAAAACCAAACTAACCGAAATTTTTTTGGGATAAAAAAACCGACCGAAATCGAACCGGTAAATTTGAATAACCGACAAACCGAAACCGACTAAACCGAATCGGTTTCGGTCGGTTATCAAAAACCGAATTGCAAGCACCCAAACAAAAAATTAAAACATGAACCTTCATGGTAAAAGATAAATAGTGAATGGATGAAGAACAATTTCGTAGCAATTTGCTGATGGGAAACCAAAAAAACATTGAAACGGAAGATGGCTACAGAAGGAAACCAAAAAAACCTTCATGGCTTCTTTCTCCACATCAACATGGTGTAATTATGAATAAATTAAAGGCCAAAAAAAAGTGGTAAAAATTCAGCCAATTTTGCAAAACAAAAGACAACAAAACCTTGCGAAATTGGCTGAGGGACTGCACCGTCATCTTGGACTCTCAAAGAAGAAGGCAGAATTGGATGAATCACGGAAGCGTGGACTCTTGATCAATCGGAACTGCAGAAGGATGAGGCTTCGAGAATCGCGATTAGGCGAAGTAACGACCGAAACCTAAAATTAGAAATGCCAAATCTCAATCGGCAGGATGATGAGTGGTGGAGTATGCTTCTGTCAACTCCCAATGGGCTAACTTCCTATTGGGCTTTTAAAAATTCATATTATTAATTAGTAAACATATATGACGTTTTACCCAAACAAAGCATGTACTCCGTATATCGGTTATTCGGTTAACCGAATAAATCGATACCCGAAACCGACACCAAACCGAAGTACCCGAACAAACCGAATTTTTTATTGTATAAAACCAAAATCGAAACCGAAATCAATTTAGCGGTTACTTCGGTTTTCGGTTTAACGGTCGGTCTAGTTAATTTGCTCACCCCTACACAGTATTACAAAAATGGATGGTAGCCAATTGCGTCTATTCATACTCTTGACATAGTATTATACTCTGTAATGGATATTATATACAGTGCGGTAGGATAACATCATCATCACTCATTATTTATTTAATTATTCATATTTAGAAGAATTTAAGTTTGAACTCCTAATATGAGAATATGACAAACTCCGGTATGTTTTATTCATATTTAGGGGGTTTTCTCAAGATAATTTTAAGAGGGAGGGAGTAAGTAATAATTTTATGAGAAATTTGCCTAAATAGGATTAAAACATAATGACTTTTCAAATATAGAACCATATATTTTTATTTTCCAATGTAGGACCTTTGGTCACTATAAAATAGTCACTATTCAAGTAAATGTACATCATTATTAGATATTATTCCTCCTTCAAGGTTATTATTAAGTCTTATTTAGGGAATAAAAAAGTTGTTTTATGTTCAAAAACTTACTATTTTTATTCTCTTGTGTTCCTTCGTAACCCTAGCAGCCGCCAACCTCTCCTCTTCGTTCTCTACAGCCGGAAGAAAGGAAAAGATGGAATTTCATTCGCAAATCGTTTCGGAAGAAAGGATACGGCGTTTTACCGAGCATCGTGTTCGTATGATTTATATAGAGTTTAAATTACTTCCGAAGGTAAAGCCTCTTTGAAATTTATGCTTATTTCTTCCGGGCTGTTTTATTCCCGTTCAAGTATTATTGCCAATGCTAACTATTTCTATTTTTCTATTGCAAGGATTCGATTTTTATCCAAATAAACGAAGAACGGGGACTATCAATGTTCTGATTGTTAACCTGCACCCAGAACATGATTTATGATGATTTTTGTTTTTTAATGGTTCCTTCATCAATTCTCTACTAACTAATATGAACCATTAACTTTAGAGGTTCATGCCAAAGTCTGGATCGTATGAATGAACCATATGCTTTGGACCCATCAAGTTCTAATTTTTAATTTGATTTTTAGGAAAAAAAGAGACTGCTTTTTGCTTTCACTGATGCTTCTTTTTCTTCTCTGTATCACAGATTGAATCATATCACAATCAAAGGAAAGAAGAACAGAGTACCATTCAGATTTCATGTTCTCAGAACTGGAGTAAATCCTTCCGCGATGTGTTTTTGTACAGTGTTCCCACCCATTTTATATGCTACAGTACCTGTGAGATTTGGACCGCACATTCAGACAAGACAGAGAGCGTCCTGCGTACACATGTAGAGGGAGAGAGAGAGCGTATAGAGTAAGAAAGCTTTCCTTCAGATCCACCTGTTCTTTCTTCGCAGCCGGCTTCACCGTCTTCGATCAGACGTGCGCTGTCTCACTTCTCAAGTTGGAGGTCGACGATCGCCGTCCAATTGCAATCAGCAATACGCCGTAGCATCAGAGAGAGCATACCGCCGCGAGTAAGTAGCCATGCTGCCGTAAGATCTAGGGTTCCAGGTTTTGAAGTTTTCTTTCTCCTGCGTTAAATTGGGAGACGATATTGTATCAATTCTTTTCCCAAACAGATGAAGCACAGTTGGTCTCTAAAATCCTCACCTCTAGATCCTCCGTCGCAGGTTCTTCCGTATCGTCTTTTTGCCTTTGACTTTAGCCGCCGGTCATACACGTCTGAGTTCCGAATGGATCTTAGTAGCTTGGAGAGTTCTGAAGAGAACATTCTATGCAGGCCCAATGGCGGAACTGAGGCTGACTTGCGACGCTGGATTACCGGCCGTGCAGCGGCGCGTTGATGCCGTGTCGGTGTCTTTCAGGAAATCTCTCGAGACTACCAAATCTAGGGTTCAGGAGACAGTTCTGCTTCAAGGTATTTGCTTTCCTTCTCTGTTTTTTATTGTTGCATTTTTTTTGGTAATTTGGTACAATTGAGTTGAAAGTGGATGGGAATTACACGGTTCATAGATCTGGTGTCATTTTTGTATTTTTCGTTAACAGTTGTTCATTTTCTTCTGAAAGACCTCATTTCCTTTTCAGACTGCTTGTGTTCATGTAATTGAATGCTTTGATAATCTTATTTTAAAATGTGCTCATTTCAAAATATCTTTGAATGATGATGGTGGGAACAGGAAACCATGAAACAAAAATTGCAGTAGCTAAACTAAAAAATTGCAGTAGCTAAAATGTAAATAGAATTCTAATCGCTCTCTGGATAGGCACAATTTTGTATCAACTTAAAAAGACTTTAAGGAGATGGGGAGAGATGATAATGCCTTTCAAATGCTTAACGAGAGAGGAGCCAATGGTAATTTAGTTCATTCTACTGGATGAGGGCTGCTTCTGTGTTCATTCTACTTGATGAGAGAAATAAAGGAAAAAAAGACTTTGTTGGAAAAATAGTTGTGATAGTGGAAACAGCATTTATGGGAGAAGGTTCACTTCACACCTATAAAAGGCTTGCACGGAATTCTTTGCTCTAAATAAGGAGCTCAAGAGAAAAAAAAGAGAGAAAGAAACTATAAACAAAAGAATTCAAAGAAAGAAAACAAATTTGTGTTTCAATTATATTTTCCATAGACAAAATTAAAAACACATAAACTGCTAGCTAGGTATCAGTCTGCCAGCTATGGTTTCCAAGCCAGGATTACTCACTGACTGGCCATGGACACCTCTTTGCAGCTTCAAGGTATATATTTTACTCTGTTTTTTTCCTCTGCTTCTTTTTTTTAATTTTATTTTTAATTTTGGGTACAATGTATTTCTCTTTTCATTTACTCTTTTAATCTAGCAATTTGTTTTTTATAATAAAAATTCTACGAGACGAACAGAGGACTGGCTGCTAGCAGCGAAACTAGGGCGGAGGTGGTGGAGCTCATTGTGCAGCTGGAAGCCAAGAATCCGACGCCGGCACCCAAGGAGGCGTTGACTTTTCTCAATGGAAAATAGGTTCTTGCTAGCTCCTTTCTTTGCATCTATCTATCTATCTATCTATCTATCTATCTATCTCCTTACAATCAAGCCCATCCCTTATCAAATCAAAAACAATAAGCCGGGTTCACATATTTTTGCAATCTTCTTCAAAGAGGACACCCTCTATATTTTCAATCATTTGTAAAATGAATTCCGGTGAAGACCACCCTACCTGGGATTATCAGTTTCGGGCTTTGAAGAAGAATACGTGAAATGTTTTGTTTTTTAAACAAAACATAAGTTCCAGAAATGTTTCTCCTTTTTAACAGGAGATATTGAGGCAGTAGCACCCCTTATGTACCTCTTCATCTACATATAATCCATATATTAGGTAATGATAATGCTTTTGAGACCTTTTTTTTTTGGGTTTTTACAGGGTTTGTTGTTGTTATTGTCTATCATTTATATGGTAATTATGCACACAATTCCAAAACATGAAAGCATCTTTGGTTTGTTTGTTAAACCTTTTATTTTTTAAACTTTATTAAGAATGGGTTAGTTGTGTGGTGCAGAGTGGTGAATGGTGCTCTGGAGTATTTGTCCAAGGATCTTGGTATTGCCGAGAATGCTGTGGCACAAGGCAGGTCTTCTTGATCAAGTGGTTTTTTATATGCATATTGTGGGTTTTATGATATAAGTGATGGCTAGGTGCTAGACTGCTTGGCTACGCGGGATAACCAAGCCATAAACAAAGAAATTAAATGTTATATTTTATAAATAGACTTCAATAATTAGATTTTGTCTCTTCTAAATTGAGAGGGGTCATAGAAAGAACCAGTTCGAAATCTGATCAATTCCTAACTAAAACCAAGCTGCCGCTGGTCGAGCCCGTCCCGCGTGCTACAAATGTACCAAATCTATATTTCTCATATATTCTTGACAGGATGGATTGTCAGTGCAAGTCTTGCTGGTGCTACTTTTGGTTCATTTACTGGGGGGAACATTGGCTGATAAGTTAGGCAGAACAAAGTCACGGCTCTGCTAGGCTTTTCTTATTAGGCAAATTCTTTCATAAACTTAAGATTTATCCCTATTTTATTGATCAAAATGCATTTGTAGCATAAAAAATAGACTTTTGAAAAAAAAATTCACATGTAAGTATATAAAAATGTGAAAATAATGACGAGCAAAACCCAATTTCTTTAAAAATAAATTTTTAATAAGTAATAAGTTGATCAAAATATTTTTTTTATGGATATGTGTTATTCTCGCAAAATAATGACGTGCAAAACCCAATTTCTTTGAAAATAGTTTATTTACAAATTCACCTATTCAAAAAAAATATATATTAAATTGTACAAAAAAACTATATTAAATATTCTACAAAACAAGGTGTAACAAAAAATTATTCTTTGTATATCCAATAATCAATAAAAATACCCAAGTAAGGGAATTTCGAGAGATTAATATTAACAGTATACAGTATTTTGGTACACATAAAATTTAAGTGATTTAAAAGTGATTAGACATTTATTGTGTTTGGAGAAGTTTTGGTATAATATACTCGTAATTGTCAATAGTTAGAGGCTGTTTGTTTCAGCCTCTTAATGGTTCAGATGTTTGAATGATTCAGCACTTAATGGTCCAGACTGTTTGTTTCAGTCTTTTAATGGTTCAGATGTCTGAATGGTTAAAAGATTTGCCTCTGAATGGTTAAGTATTATACAGAGTCTGAATGGTTAAGAGCTGTTATCTGAATTGATCAGACATTTGCCTCTGAATAGTTAGGGGCTGTTTGGAAACTTCTGAATCAGTAAGTGCTGAACCAGTAAGAGGTCTGAACCATTAAGTGCTGAACCAGTAACCATTAAGAGCTAGTATATTGCTTAACTATTCAGAGGCAAATGTCTGATCAATTCAGATAAAAGGTCTTAACCATTCAGACTCTGTATAATACTTAACCATTCAGAGGCAAATCTCTTAACCATTCAGACATCTGAACGATTAAGAGGCAGAAACAAACAGTCTGAACCATTAAGTGCTGAACCATTCAGACATCTGAACCATTAAGAGGCTGAAACAAACAACCCCTTAAGCAATATACTAGCTCTTAATGGTTCAGACCTCTTACTGGTTTAGCACTTAATGATTCAGACCTCTTACTGGTTCAGCACTTACCCATTCAGAAGTTGCCAAACAGCCCCTTAATCTTTGAATGTGTTGGTACAAAGCCAACATTCCCATCCCAATGGGACAACCTCTTAACTCCTTCGGCATCTCGAATGTACTTTGTACTTTGCTCAACTGACAAAGACATAATCGACAACAAGAAAATAATGAATGTATTTTAAATGCAATATGTAAACATACTATATTGAATGATATAGACAAATTCATTAATTAGTACAAATTATAATCTGTATAATATATTTATACAGGAAAATATTTACTGCCAATGTTGTATTCAAGAAAGTGTTTCAAAATATTTGAAACATGTAACCGACAATTTCAATGTTTTTATATCATGTTCGTTTTCTAATTATCAATAGTTGATTTTGTATAAACTTTATCTGTATTTGGAATTTCCTACATTATATATAAAATTATTTTTGCGTTATGAATTACACTACTCATTAAGAATTCAATGAATAGCAAATATAATAACAAAATTCTCCCCGTGCAATGCACGGGTATGAGTCTAGTTTAAAGATTAAAGATTACCTCATTGTAATTGATTTTGCCTGCCAAAACATAACTTGCAATATACTTCCTTTGTCTCACAAAATTCCCTTCCTTTTTTTTATTCGTCCAAAAAAAATCTCTTTTTTATTAAAAAGTCATATTTACCCTTATTTATTCTTAACCTACCTAATACATCACATTTTTTCTCTATTAATCTACCCATCACATTCTACTTTATCCATCACATCAAAGGGTATTTTTGAAAATCAATACTAAAATACACTTTCTTAGAATCCTTTGAAAGTCAAATTGGGAAGTTTTTTAAGGAATGGACGGAGTATTGTTTTGACCGAGCGGCATCAACAAAGCCCATAAAAGCATCCTCATTTACTTTTGCCAGACCGTTTTAGAGTCACCAAACCCATTGTTAACCGCCATAAATGAAATCTCGATCGATCCATTGTGCAGGTACTGTGGAGACTGTTTTTTCTCTTTCACGATGTAAAAAGCAAACAGAAAAAAACATGAACTAAAAACGAAGAAAATAATTTCTTCTATTGCGATGAGTAAAAGGAAAAAACTTATATATATTTCTTTCTTTTAGAAAGCGTAATTGCCAAGTAAGCAAATTAATCATTTTCAAAGATCATGTGGAATTTTGGACTTTTAGGCCTAAAATTATACTCCCTCCGTCAGAAAATATTCTTTCCATTTTTCCTTTTTGCTCCGTCCGGAAATATTCTTCTCATTTCCTTTTTTAGTATACTTTTTAAGGCTAAATATCAATAATACCCTTCTATTTTATCACAAATCTACTTTTTTTGTATTTTTTTAATAATAAAAAGAGATTTAAAAGTTTAAAGTATGTGGAATTTTGAAAATTTTGCATATTTTTTACTATTTCTTAATAAGCGTGTCAAGTCAACATGGGAAGAATATTTTCGGACGGAGGGAGTACTCCGTAATATTTTAGTTACACACTTTGTAGTTTGTATAACAATATCCTTTAATATAATAAATGAGACTCGGATGTACTGAAATTTGACATTTGGCATGTCTATGTGGCAAAATTTAAACATGTCAGCACGCCACATAATATCCGAGTAAACCAGCGAAAATCCTTTAATATAATATTTCAGACTCGGATCACTAGAGCTTGACATGTGGAATGCTTACGTGGAGTTTTTTTGACATATTTCATTTATTTGACGATTTTCATCTCTTTTTACTTCTTTAATATGCTCACTATTATTGTCACATATCATATTCAAAATTATATGTGTGACCCATATCCATTGTAACTTTTTTTTATTTTTTAAAGATTAAATAACATGACAAAAAAACAAATATGGAGTCTATGACATGTTTTAAATATTCATTGATCATTTTTAGCAAATAGTTTATTATAATCTTTAGATGTTGATATTTAAATATTTGATTAGTTTAAATCAGTATATTTAATATTACAAAAATGTTATGGACTTTTGAATTCAAAGAAAATCAAGTAAATGAATGAAAATAAAAATATAATTTTTCTATAAAAATTAAGTGAATTATTCATTATAAAAGACACTAACACTGATATAAAAGTTTTTAAGTAAAATATGAAATGTTTTTAAAATTATTAATTTATTCTTTTTTATGAGAATTTATTTAGCAAAAATATGGTCGCAATTCAACAAAAAATGTGTACATAACTGAATTGAGTTTAGCTTAAAAATGACTAATCTAATATAACTAAAAACAAGTGAAAAAAAGAAAGTGAGTAAATTTTCAAAATAGTTTTTTCTACTAAGGTATTTTTCCAAATCAGTTCTCAATAAGCAATAATTACGTGCTTAGTCTTTTCTAATTTAATATTTTCCAAAATAGTGTTTTCTTATCACATGAGTGATTTTAACTCTAAATGGAGTTGTATAGATTTGGATACAAAAGAGTTTTATAATTAAAATTAAAAAATACAAAAATATCATGATTTCAAACACAAGATATGATCGAACACCCAAGACAACTCTACCAAGAGCTGTCTGTGAATGATAGGTTCCAAGCCTACAAACTATTCTTTCTTAGTTCTTACCAAGCTTTCCAAGGGAAAGGCAAATTTGTTCTCGTGTTCTCGAAATGGATGGTTACGGGGAAACACGTGAACGCCTACTCAGTAAAGATTTAGTCATCTATGTCATCCTACAACCGTTCTCGGATTTTTCGACCGGTTATCTCATGACCTTGACATGATTCTACCTAAGCATGACATCAATAAAGGAGAGAATAAATTCATCATGAAGGTCCATGATGGATGGAAAGCATGAAGTAGGATAAAGACAAAGGTAAGATATGATCGAACACCCAAGACAGTAAAGGTAGTGTT